CCCCTCCCTGCCTTTTGCCCACCTAACGTCTCGGACCTATACGTTCTTATACTAACCGTCTTTACTAAGTAAAGGTTCCCTGACCGTCTAGGCTCGACACACTAAACATCCGAGTTCGTGAGGAATCGTGAGTAAAATGCACGAAAAAAATTATTTTATTATCGCAACCCTTTCTGTGTTCCCACCAACTGTTCATGTCCATATGGTTATGGTAGTGATAGTTGTCGTGGGTGGTCGGCGGGTGCTCTGGTGTGGTTTGCTCCTTTTTTCCAATTTAAAAAGCAATCGTCTCTATCTCCCCTCCTTTTTTATGTTTGTTACTCTCTAATAACACCTGTAATCTTCAGCACCTATATGACCTTATTGTGTTGCAAGTGCCGTAAAACTCTTTCTTAAACTAAATGGAATAGTTGTCCTTCGTATATATGGTGAGTTTTACGGCGGCCATAAAATTTCATCGCTAAAATTTCATCCGTCCGCTCTCGTGTTGTGACTGACCGCTCCCCCACAGGAGGATGATGAGGACCTGCTTCCCCAAAGATAAAGACATTAGATGTCTTACAGAGGATGGAGCTGCAAGCAGAAATGCACAGTGTTCTATTCAAACGCGCTACGGCAGTGGAGCCCACAAATTATGATGCAACGGGAGAGCAAAAAATACCAAGACCAATATCAATATCAATATCATTAATATCAATATTATTATTAATATTTTGTTCATTTATCTATCTTCCAAATGTCTTTCGCTTGTTTGTAATTAGTGCTCTTGATTTTCATCGTGAAGTGCCAGCAAACTCAAGCGGCTGTCAAATGTGACTGGTCTCATTCAAATGTATCTAATACATTTGCCTTCATGCCACAACATTTGGTGTAGTAGATGGTGATGCTAGCCATTTACTTGTTTTCTATAATCCAAAATTGGATGGATGCAGTGCCTCCTATTGTTCCTCTTATTTCTTTCTTTTAACAACAGTAAAATCTTCAGTTGTCTTAGAATCCATGATGATATAAAACACGCACGATAATGCACAATTAGACGGATGATAGATAAAGCTATTTATCATCATCATCCCAATTATTATTATTATTACTATTATTATTATTATTATTATTATTATTATTATTATTATTATTATTATTATTATTATTATTATTATTACTATTATTATTATTATTATTATTATTATTATTATTATTATTATTATTATTATTATTATTATTACTTATACCACAGAGCTCCGCCACTACTTTTCAAGAGCTGTCGAGACGGTCACTAGCTGTAACAGAGTGAACCCAGCGCACCAGCTAACCTGCCCTATCTACCTTGTGATTGTTAAGTAAAGGGCGGACTCCCTAAAGTTTGGACACGCTGGATTGCTCAAATATAATAATTGTTTTTTTCCCCAGGTGTTCGTTACACTCCAGTCTTGCAAGACGTTCCCCTCTCAACAGTTTAACAACTGACATCACCATGAACTGGACTGGTCAGTTTCTAGGTCTGGTCTGCCTGGCCTTGACCCAGACCAAGGTGAACTCCGTCAAGTACGGGGACGCTCAAATGGTTCACGAGTGGACAACAGTGGACATTGACTGGCCTTCTGAGGCGGTGAAACAGGAATACATCAGGAACGGTTCTTTCGTGGCGGAGAAAAATATCATAACTGGGATCAAGGTGAGGTCGAGCAATGTTTTTTTTTACTGAATGAACTGAGGCTGTTTAGTTAATGAAAAAAACCCCAAAACACTTTTTTCGTGCACATTTTTTAAAACACTTATTGTTTGTTTGGGTATTGTATGGACTAATAATTATGGTTTCTGTACTTCTCTGAAAAGTGTAATCAAATACAAACAGTGGGGTATGATTGACTTAACCTTTCTCACAGTAATGCATTCCAAAAACAGCGCCATCTGCTTCATGTGGTTTCCAAGTTTGTTGTCTGAAGATAATAATGATACAGTCTGGTGATGGCAGAGTGGACACACAGTGCTCTTTTTGCACCTTAACTTCTGTGTGAAATCTAGTTATGCTAAACACAAGTTTTATTGCAGTGATGAAGAGCATACTATGCTGTCGGGTATCAACAGAACTAACGAGTATCTATCATATCTATCTATCTATCTATCTATCTATCTATCTATCTATCTATCTATCTATCTATCTATCTATCTATCTATCTATCTATCTATCTATCTATCTATCTATCTATCTATCTATCTATCTATCTATACATATATATAAATATGTATGTATATATATATATATATATATGAAAGAGTTTATTAAATCATAAGTAGTGTGTATGCTTCTTTGTTATTGAAAATGTTCAAAGATTTTACCAACAAGTTTGTATCTGTCTCACATTGCCAAATGTAAACATTCGTTGTAGCACGAATGGCATACTAGTATTAACGATGTTGTCTGAACTCAGAGCATACCTTTACTTAGGCAATATCGCATTGGTAAAAAATGTTCGGGATTGTTGTAGAAAAGCTTGCTATGGATTTGCTGACTTCCAAGCATTATTTGAATCAATGGCGTAGTTTCGTAAAAGAAACAGTCGAATATTCTTACCTTCTCATTAGAAGACCCCAATGCAGCTTTTTCCATTTGTAATTAGGCAATTTACAACTGTATGAAGCAAAGCATGCTCTATATTACGCAGCACTTATAATGGATTCACCTTTTGTGTTTTCAGGTGTATAAAAACCAGATTTATGTCACCATTCCAAGATGGCGCTTCTTGATTGGGATACCTGTTACCTTGGCCAGGGTTATACAATGTCAAGGTCGAAGCAAACTGAGACCATTTCCTGACTGGACATCCCAAACTGTTGGTGACTGCCAGGCGTTGCAGTACGTGCAGAGTATGGAAATAGACCCCAATAGCGGCTTAATGTATGTGTTGGATACAGGCAGAATTGGTATATTGTCAAACGCCGTCAAGCCGGAGAATTTGTGTCCAGCAAAGATTGTTGTTCTAGACCTGAACACCAACAAACAAGTGGCCAGTTACGACATGCCTGCTGATGTAGTCAGTAGGGACAATAACTTTATGAACGACATTGTACTGGATTACGTTGACGGTCAGGTGAGATACGCTTACATTACCGACGTTTTAGAGGAAGTGATCCACGTGTTCGACTTTCTTACGGGAGCAGCCTGGAGCGTAAAAGACGCGGATTCTATGAAAGCACAAACAAACGGTGAAGTTTTTATGAATAACGGTGTCAACTACACGTTTACCGTGGGTGTAGACGGTATAGCTATGTCGCCTGACTTTGACTACGTGTACTACTGCCCCCTAGCGGGCTATAAACTCTACCAAGTTCCCACGTCGTCTCTGAGGAACGGTAGTGCTCAAGGGGTAAGACCTGTGGGGAAAAAAGTCTCACAGAGTGGCGGTGTGATTTACAGTGACAAGAGTTTCTACTACGGGGCTTTGGCCGACAACGCTGTGTATTCCTGGGACGCCCAAAAAGATGCCAGAGACCAGAATGTGAATATTGGTCACGTGACAATGAAAACACAGACGCTGGTTGCTAAGAATGATCGGACCATGCAGTGGCAAGACACGTTTGCTGTTGACGAATGCGGCTGGCTTTGGTTTGTCTCTAATCGTTTGCAGTTGTTTTTCACAGACACCATGGACTTTTCTGGGCAGGAGATCAACATGAGAATTTGGAAAGTCTTTATCAACGAAACCAGCTACCTTCGCGGCGCACGGGAAACAACTGGCTCCGGCGGTGGCAGTACAAACACACCGGGATCTAAAAGCACGACAACGCTTTGCCCTTCTATTACAATGGCCTTGCAACCTGACAGGGTAACTGGGTCAGGTCCTAGCAAGGTAACTGTGTCAACTCCTGACACGGTAACGAAGTCAACTCCCGACAAAGTAACTGGGTCAACTCTTGACACGGTAACTAAGTCAACTCCAGACAAGGTAACTGTGTCTACTCCTGCCAGAAAAACTGTCTCAGGTCCCAGTAGAACATCTGGGTCAGGTTCTAGCAAGGTGCCTGGGTCAAGCCCAGTTCTTCCGACTCGGCCAGGTCCTACCGGTACCGTGACGTCAAACCCTGGTGATAGGACTACGTCACCAGTCCTTGCGACAACCCCACGAGGTCAGCGTACAACCGAATCTCCGAATGGTGGAACTCTTGCCTATCAAAGACTCGGAAGCCATCTTTTGATTGTCTCTGTAGTTCTCTCTCTGAAACTTGCGACTTGAAAGAAAAAAGAAGGTATCAAATAAGTTTTATCGCCATTTGTCAGTTAAGTCGACGGGAGCTAAGAACCCCCCCCCATAAAGTTTTAATCTATCTTTCGAATAACTTAGGCCACATTTTCCCCTTTTATTTGAGCAGGGGAATTTCGTTCCCCGTTAGGTCACTATGCAGATGAAAATATTTCATTTGTCATTGCAGTTTTCTATTCTCCCCTTCATCAATATTGCAGAGGAAACTACCCGTTTTGAATATTTTGTACTTCTATTTAGAATGTGCAGGTAACTAATTTCATACTGCATTAGGCTATAGATAAGATTGCCTCGGTTCGAATCCAAAACTTGGGTTATTTTTTGGAGTTTTTAGGGCTATCCATCTACTTGGCTCGGTCCTGGGGGTGGGTGGTGGGGTGGGGTGGGGTGGGAGGTGGGGGTTAAATTCGGTGGTCCCGCCTTGCACTATTGAAAAAGCCCTTAGAACACATTCCATACCTCATTTGCACGATCTACTCTTGGTCTTCAAAATTAGTGTTAAGGATCCTTGATGGTACTTGATGAAATATGTCGTAGCAATGTCAATAAAAAGTAAATGAAAAGAACGGAATTGTTTCAAGGTGCAATATCCTCTAAGGAATTAAAAGAAATATAGAGATTACATAGGATGTCGTTGGTAAAATTTTTCAGAACCACCTCCTTCTTTTGCATTGATTTTATACTTACTTTTCTTCATTCACATTCTTATTTCAAGCACGGACACATAATTAATAAGTGAGTTTAAGAAAGAGGCTGTATATAACTATTGAAAAATTGCTATCATTTTAACAGCACCTCTAACATCCCTATTTACAATTTTGCAGAAGTTGTTTTGAAAAATAAATCCTTGTGAAAAGCACTGTCCTAATTCGTATCAAATTGAACTGATACATTTCTATGTGCCATATTCAACTGTTTACAGCACTGTGATAACTATTTTCCCCTTAACTTTGTCTGGCGGATAAGCAAAAATATAGAGAAAAAGGATTGTCCCAAAATGAATTTTCCTGTTATTATTTTTGCACATTTTGCTGTGTACACGTTTATTTCGAGAAAAAAAGGGAATCAACACAAAGAATATTTTCCAATCCCAAACTGTACTTAAAAAACCCAAAACAACAACAACACCCTCCCCCAAACAAACCAAAACAAAAGAAAAAAGAAAAAAAACTTACCTACTTACTTATTTATTCTCTCCCTATACCGTCAGGCACAAAAAGTGGAGAGCAGTCGACGGCACGCTTGTCTGTCCCGGGCTACTTTTTCCAATTTCGGCACATCTAGGCCCTGGGTGATTGCCTCATCCCGTATTATGCCCCTGTAGCTCTCCAGTTGCATTTTTAAGTCTTTGGTGGACGCCGTCAATGCAGTCCGCACTTTTGGATATAATGCTGCCAAGATACTTGAATTTATCAATTTCTTCAAGGGGTTCTCCATAAAGAGTGATGGGCGTAGTTCCTGATGACAGTCGTAGTGCTTCTGTTTTGGATACATTTATTAGAAGGCCAGCATTTTCCGCAACTTTTGCTAGTTCGTCTGTTTTTGACTGCAATTCGTGTACTGTGGTGTTTAATAGGCAGTTGTCATCCACAAAATCTAGATCTCCTAAATAATGTGCCATTTGTCCATCCAATGCCTGTTAAAATGTATTTACTCTGTGTCATTACAAAATCGATCACAATTACCAAAAATACAGGTTATAATATACAGCCTTGTCTAACACTAGTGTTTACTTCAAAAGGTATAGATAGTTCTCCTTCAACTAGGACACAGCAGCTTGCATTGGCATAATATGATCTTATACAGTTTATTATTTTTGTTGGGATATCATAAATTGCAAGAATTTTCCGGAGGGCCTCTCGGTCTATGCATAAAAACATAATAAAAAATGCCAAAGATAGTCGAAAAGTATAAGAAAGCAAAGATTGAAACAACTGACATCAAGCTGGCTAAAGACGTCAACAACATAAAACAACATTACACAAAGATAACGGTTTTATGCCCCAACGGAACATTTATTTGTTAATGGATTATAAGGTTCCAGTTTCAGACCTCGGAAGTTGTTAAGGCATGACACAATGTTTTTCGTTGGTTAAAAAACCCCCAACCCAGCTGCTCACTACTGCAGCTAAGTTAGTAAGTATTTTGACTCTCTAACGTTCTCTTTTTCTAATGCCAAATATTAAAAACGAGATGCAGATTGTAGATGATCTGTTTTCTCTTCCAGAAAACGAACAAAACAAACAAACAAACGCCCACACACACAAAAAAAGAGATTAAAAATATAACTTTTGTTCACGTGTCGTGAGAAACTTTTTGCGCTTTCAAAACAAAGAAAATTACTTTTCTATTCCATTTGTTCAGGAACTCATGCAGAGATTGATAGATAGTAATATGGCTAGATAGACTGATAGGAGAGAGAGAGAGAGAGAGAGAGAGAGAGAGAGAGAGAGAGAGAGAGAGAGAGAGAGAGAGAGAGAGAGAGAGAGATTTATATCGCTTTCGTAA